AATATGACACATACATAATAGTGAAACATGTATTATATGAAAATAATATAATATTTTAGTATTTACATTTTTTTTAATACAGTGATTTATTTATGGGCTGGGTAGAGACAGAGGAACAATTGACAATGCTGTGCCTACCGGCACCCAACATCGAAATCTAACCCAGATCCCCAGCAGATAACCAGCAGACGTCTGGTAAAACTCTTTATTACTTCATTACTTAGTCGGTTTTTAATCGCAGTTCCGCAAGTGGATTTTGGCTTATAATTTACATAGTCCTTAGAAAACCTGTAAGCAAACTCTTGCTTTCCATTTGTTGACTCAATATCACTCTAATACACTCATTGAGTATGATGGTAGTTTGGTGTCCTATCTTTGACCTTGGGTTTTGTTATATGAAAATATATTTTCTGTCATTCCAACTAATGAGACAGAATTACACTTCATTCACTCATTATAGGTCACATCACCGTTCATTCTCCATTCTGTCTAAGGCATATATATATATTTTCTTTAATACCGAGTCATTGTTTTGCAGTGCACGCTGTCAGAACGTGCACTCCCTGCACAGGTGACAAGTTGTCCATATCAAGGATCAGCGTCTCCAGCAGTTAGAAAATAAACATTCACCGTGCTTATTCTAAGCACGAAGTGCTCCGTGACATTCCTTATTAAGACATTACAGTCTGCAGATCAGGGCAGGTTTTAAACAAATACAAAACCCATTGTCTGTTGACCATAGGAGCTACACTTATTTAAGCTTAATTTAATTTTCATTTCTATCATATATATTCATTATCCTTATTGTTCTGGTTCCTTGCTTTCAACATGTTAGAATAATAATAATAATAAAGTATTTAACTAGGAACGGTACATTCAGATTACTCTAGTTTTCAAGGACGTCCTGGGGATGATACGTTCCTGCGGTGATGCTCAGAAAAAAAAGTATTCATATGACTCATTGTTATTTTGTAATGCTTAGGGTTAGCAATGTTTTTAGTCTCTTGATCGTTTCTATTCTTAAGGAATTAATACAAAGCAGCCAAGTGGCAAAATATGTAATGGAATGTTGCCATTCCCAATGTTGAAAATATAACATATGCCAAATAATTATATCTACAATATGTTTGGGCCAGGAGGCAGATAGTGAAAGCTGGCACAGGCGTCTCACTTACAAATCATTCCTAGGGCAAACTTATCCAGCAACAATGATCTCTGCTTTAACCCCTTGGCTACCAGTACGGTTAAAATGCTATAAATATCAGGAAGAATAAATTTTTAGCTAAGCACTTATAACCAACAACTTTGAAATATAAGTTTTTTAATAATATATATATTTTTTCATCAAGTTGATTAGCTACTAGAAAAAAACTGAGGTACTGTGGTAGAAGCTACAGCATGTTTAAGAAAAGGGCAGTATTCACATGGTTAAAATTTCTGTGCAACTATCTTGGATCAGGGCGCATGTGTGGAATGTCAGGAACGCCCACTATTAGATAACATATGTAAGAGATAAGCATTAGTTTAATAATTGGATGTAACTATAGTAATGTAGGTGTAATTTTTGTATTCTCTGTATACGTGTGGAATACGTCATTTACAGTATATATTCTTTGTTCTGAAACTGATCTGTGTCCAGTGCATCGTGTTACTGATAAAGGCACTGGAACATTTGCAGCTGCAAATAAATTCATGTTTGGTTCCTGGAATCCTTGTCCATTCTATTATGTACTTCTTAGCGTTGCATTCCTATTAAAGTACCATGTTTTTTTTTTTAACGGAAGATTCACTACACGCACCATAACCACTATAGGTTATGGTGCCAGGAGTACCCTGGAGCCCTGCCATGGTAAGCAATTAGACTGTTTGAAAATGTTTTGACGACTTACTGGGATCTGCAGATCCCCTGCTGCCACTTGCCCTGCAGGTCGAAGCTCATGCACTTAGCGATGCAGCAAAGCACTCTGGCTTAGAGAGCTCTCCACCAATGAGCTAACCTTGCACAAGAGAAAATAGCTCACTGGGACTCACTGAAGATCTTTGCAAGAGCTTTCTGGCTCCAGGTGAGGAGGTGACTGGCACAAGAGAGACCTCTGATATATTGTCAAAACATTCTCAAACGTTTTGACTACGCACTCTTGGAGGGCATTATAATCACTACAGAGATAGTCAACTAAAAATGGGGACAGGCAGGGATGGACTGGAGGTCCTGATAGGGAGAGTAACACACATTATTGGGAAGGGGAGCCCTACCTTTAATAGCCCTAAGGAAAAACAGATATATAAGTGGGAAAGGGAGAGACAAAAAGGTATATGTATAATGAGTGTACTTGTATACATATACACCGACACAGATACCTATAGATATCCAGCTAGGTTAGCTAAGAAAAACATAGCTACTAGTGAGGTCTAAGCCTACACTGAACAATTTCCCAGCTAATAAACAAAACCCAGGTATGTCCAAAGGTGAAGGACACTAGGGCTAAGATAAGGAGCCAAACCCCAAAAGAGTATCCCCACAGCAGCCCTGTTGGGAATAATACACTTTGCCTATATTTACCCAGGTCTTAAGATACAGATGACAGGATGTTCAGTCTGTTTTAAATTGTTTAACATGTCAGCTATCTTAAATAATATACTTTATCTATGTCCAATGCTTAGTGAATATACCCCTAGACAATAAAGAGCTGTATATAGGGCCGGACTGGGACAAAAATTCAGCCCAGGCAATTAAAGGCAGAGCAGCCCACTATTAGTGGCAGGGTCAGAAAGGGGGCGTGTCATGCCACCACCATTGACATGCACACCCCCCACCAAATGAGTATGTTAATGTCACGCTTCTCCAGAGCATCTTAGATGACGTAAATGCCATGTTGTTTCTTTTGGGGTGCAAGCATGCGCTGTGTTTGCTGGCGATTTGTCTCTGGTGTCCTCAATAGTGGGATACCAGAGATCAAATCAGGAACAGGGCTGTTAAAGTGTTGCGCATGTGTGGGGATGTCCCCTGTGGTGTTGTATATGTTTGGAGGTTGCATGTGTGTAGAATAGACTATTTGTGTTGTATTGTGTGTAAAGGGGTCTGTTTGTGGCATACTGCATGTGGCTAGGGGCTGCAGTGTGTGTTTCTGAGTTGTAAAGTATGTGTGTGTGTATTTATATAGGGCCTGTGGAGTGTGTGGGCCTAGGGGATGTAGTGTGTGCATGTAAAGAGCTGTACTGTGTGTTTGTGAGTGTATCTAAGGGCTCTAGTGTGTGTATGCATATAGGAGCTGTACATCACATGTGTATAGGTGCGGTGATGTATGCATAGGTGGTGTAGTGTATACAGGGGTGCAGAATATGTATTTATAGGGGATGTAAATTAGTGTGTTTGCATGCAGGAGGTGTAATGTGTGTTTAAAGGGGCATAACACATGAAAGTGCAGGGAGTGTAATGTATGTTTAGGGGGTATAGAGTGTGTATGTGAGTGCCGGGGGTATAGTGTGTATATAAGGGGTATAGAGAGTGTGTGAAGTATGTTTGTGTGCAAGTGCAGGAGGTGTAGTGTGGATATAGGGCTATATAGTGTGTGCTGTGTGTTAATGCAGGGGCTGTAGTGTGTATATAGGGGTATAGAGTGTGTTTGTGTGTTAGTGCAGGGGGTGCAGTGTGTTTGTGTGTTAGTTCGGGGGTGCAGTGTGTTTGTGTGTTAGTGCAGGGGGTGCTGTGTGTGTAGTGTGTGTAGTGTGTTAGTTCAGGGGGTGCTGTGTGTGTAGTGTGTTTGTGTGTTAGTGTGTTAATGTGTTAGTGTGTTAGTGCAGTGTATAGTGTGTTTGTGTGTTAGTGCAGGGGCTGCAGTGTTTGTTAGTGCAGGGGGTGCAGTGTGTTTGTGTGTTAGTGCAGTGTGTTTGTGTGTTAGTGCAGGGGCTGTAGTGTGTTTGTGTGTTAGTGCATGGGCTGCAGTGTGTTTGTTAGTGCAGGGGCAGCAGTGTGTTTGTGTGTTAGTGCAGTGTGTTTGTTAGTGCAGGGGGTTCAGTGTGTTTGTGTGTTAGTGCAGTGTGTAGTGTGTTTGTGTGTTAGTGCAGGGGCTGCAGTTTGTTTGTTAGTGCATGGGCTGCAGTGTGTTTGTTAGTGCAGGGGCTGCAGTGTGTTTGTGTGTTAGTGCAGTGTGTTTGTTAGTGCAGGGGCTGCAGTGTGTTTGTATGTTAGTGCAGTGTGCTTGTTAGTGCAGGGGGTGCAGTGTGTTTGTGTGTTAGTGCAGTGTGTTTGTTTGTATGTTAGTGCAGTGTGTTTGTGTGTTAGTGCAGTGTGTCTGTGTGTTAGTACAGGGGGTGCAGTGTGTGTGTGTGTAGTGTGTTTGTAGTGTGTGTATGTGAGGGGGGTGTATATAGTGGATGATATGGCCATACATTATTAATTTAAGAATTAAACAAACAAAAAAAGTAAAAAAATAAAAAATAATCCCATTTACTCCCCCTTTTAACTTGACAGGGGAGATAGGAAGCATTTACATACCTGGTGGTCCAGTGAGGAGGGGGGTCCATGCCACGCACCGATCCCTGGTGGTCCAGCGGCAGATAAATCAGTCTGTACCCTGCAGGGTACGCCGCAGGGCACAGACCATGTTTCTCTCCCTCTCGCAAGCGCTAGTTTTTCAGAGCGTTGCTGCGGGTTACCATGGCAACTCTCTGATAATCTCGGAGCTCGCGAGAGGTAGAGAAGGAAGCTGCTCGGCGTTCTCCCCTCCGGCCCATTATGGGACACAGGACTCCATCTTGAGGCCGGTGCCGCCCTGCATGGGCCGGCAGGAGAGATCTCTTGATCTTTCCTGCCAGCCTCGGCCCATGGCCATTGCGGCCCACCGGGCATTTTCCCGGTTTGCACGATGGCCAGTCCGGGCCTGGCTGTATAATATCATGTAACAAGTAGTGATATCCCGAACGGTTCGCCGAACGGTTCGCCGAACGGTTTGCCGCGGACTCATCTTTGAGTAAACTTTGACCCTGTACCTCACAGTCAGCAGACACATTCCAGCCAATCAGCAGCAGACCCTCCCTCCCAGACCCTCCCACCTCCTGGACAGCTCCAGAATACATTCACAATGATGCTGCATGGATGCTGTCCAGGAGGTGGGAGGGTCTGGGAGGGAGGGTCTGCTGCTGATTGGCTGGAAAGTGTCTGCTGACTGTGAGGTACAGGGTCAAAGTTTACTCAATGATGAGTCCGTGGCAAACCGTTCGTGGCGAACCGTTCGTGAACCGTTCGGCGAACCGTTCGGGACATCACTAGTAACAAGTAATAGGTGTTATATGCTGTAGAACATCATGTATCAAGTCACAGATGTTATATCCTGTATTCTTCTGTCTGTCGGCCTTAATTCCTGTTTTTCCCTCTTTGAAAATAACTGCATAGTAATGTGTAATTTAGAACTTAGTAGTAAATATCTTTAATTTGTAGTGTGCATGCACATTAGTTTGAAGTGTGTAGTTATAGTGAAACTTAGCTTTGAGCAAGGCCCGTACATGAAGATACACCTGCAAGCTTGCTATAGGTTAAGATATTAAGATAAGATAGATGATTTTGTTAGGATTGGATAGTGCTTGTAATGACCACCCCTGTTTCCTGCTGTACAAAACCTGTTGCAAAGCTCATTAAATGTGACAAGTCACTTTGAACCTTGCATTGTATTGTCTTGTTCATTGGGGGCTCCTCACCAGCTGGATTGGGGACAAGGAGTAATACAGAGAGTTGCAAATTGATACAAAAGACCATGGCAAGGGAAAATTCCTGACAGAGAAAATGCCTCACTATCAAGCCCCAAACCAAAGCTCAGATGAATAGATCTGTCCATATATCACCTCGGCACCGTAGACTGACCACTAGTGCCTACCTGAACCTCTCTCCCTTCCTGATCTAAAAGAAAAAAGATTAAATAAACCTTAACTAAATTAGTGTATATTAGTGCTACCAAGTGAGATAAGTGTTAAAATAAAAAAAATAATAGCTCGACACGCGTTTCGGCGTGTCAGCATGCCGTCGTCAGAAGCAATGTCTGTGAACTGGCCCAGCTATCCGTTTATATAAGTCCTTAATTGGCAATTAGCCATCAAATGTTGCCTACTGTGCAGAGACAGTCACAGAGAGGCAGAGGACAATGGAAATACCGCCACTACAAAATAATAGACCTAAGGGTAATTAATTTGTCCTCTACTAAACTTTCAGACATTCAAATTAAGACCCTTACTAAAGGTCTTTCTTTCGTATCTACCCCTCCATTCAATAAATTTATCTGGACTAAAGATTTATATTTGTTCGCTCGTAAGCTAGCTCTTCACAAATATCACAATAATAGGAAAGAACAGAAAGCACTGAGTATGGGGCTTACAATAAAAAGAAATGGATTGTCTTGATACTTTGGTCGAATCTGGAATATAATGATAATTCCAGATACAACACCATTCCTACGACACATCTCACCCCTCAGAGCAAATTCACACCACCTCTAAAAGACTATAAAAATATCAAAGTCTTTTTAAATATGTTATGCAGGGATATTGAAAAGGCTGATCTTAGAGCTTTGGATTTTGAACCTAGCAGTAATCTTTTCAGAGCTGAGAAAGTGGCACTAAATCAAATTTGACTAATGTCAAGTTGGTGATAAAACTGTCTGACAAGGGCGGTAATATAGTACTGATGGGCCATTCTAAATACATACAGATGGTATACCGGTTATTGGATGATAGGGATACATATCAAAATTTGAATCATGATTCCACTTCTCAGTACTTTACTGAGATTAATTCCATCCTTACCCAAGCCCTTACCGAAAAGCTAATCACCAGAAATGAATTTGATTTTATGCTAATTAAACAGCCAATACTCTCCACATTCTACAGCCTCCCAAAAGTGCACAAATCCCTGGATGATCCATCGGGGAGGCACAAAGTATTAGGGTGTGGAAATCTATCACAATATATGTCTTTATGGATAAAATTATGTCACCTATTGTCTCCAAATTACCATCACACATCAGAGACACGAAACAAATGTTGAATTCTTTGAGGGATATTCATGTACCTGAGCAAGCATCATTGTGTAGCCTAGATGTGGAGTCACTGTATAGCTCCATACCACATACACTAGGGATACATAAATTAGAACCACTTTAGAACGTGAATTAAAAGCCCCTGCTCTATAAATAGAATTTGTCTTGGAACTTTTCAGATTGGTCCTCACCAAAAACATCTTTTTGTTCAATGGTACTATATACCGACAAGTAAGGGGGACTGCCATGGGTACGTCCTGTGCCCCCTCCTATGCAAACCTCTATTTAGGCACATGGGAGAAGCACATCATGACAGATCCTACCCTACACACCTTCCTTGACAAGATATACTGCTGGAAAAGGTATATCGATGACGTGTGATGTGTTTGTCATCTGGTTAGGACCTAATAAAGATTTTGAGGACTTTGTACAACTCCTTAAAGGACCACTATAGTGCCAGGAAAACATACTCGTTTTCCTGGCACTATAGTGCCCTGAGGGTGCCCCCACCCTCAGGGTTCCCCTCCCGCCTGGCTCTGGAAGGGGGAAAGGGGTAATAACATACCTTTTTCCAGCGCTGGGCGGAGAGCTCTCCGCCTCCGATCCGCCCCGCCGGCTGAATGCGCACGCGCGGCAAGAGCTGCGCGCGCATTCAGCCGGTCTCATAGGAAAGCATTTACAATGCTTTCCTATGGACGCTGGCGTGCTCTCACTGTGATTTTCACAGTGAGAAGCACGCAAGCGCCTCTAGTGGCTGCCAATGAGACAGCCACTAGAGGATTAGGGGGAAGGCTTAACCCATTCATAATTATAGCAGTTTCTCTGAAACTGCTATAATTATGAAAAAATGGGTTAACCCTAGAAGGACCTGGCACCCAGACCACTTCATTAAGCTGAAGTGGTCTGGGTGCCTAGAGTGGTCCTTTAATGTGAATGATTATAATTTGAGATTCACTAGTGAGATGGATGGCAAACAGCTCAATTTTCTGGATTTAAGTATAAGTATTTAAGTATTTAAGTATAATGATACAAACTGGAAGCAATGAGGCAACCACACTGTATCGGAAAAAGACTGTCACCAACGGCCTGTTGAACTGGACAAGCTGTTACCCTAAACCATTAAAAGCAGGTATACCCATTGGGCAATACCTAAGACTTAGGCGAAACTGTTCTACCCTTGAGGATTTTAAAATTAAGGCTTGGGACCTTCGGAGAGACTTTAAAGAGAAGGGCTACCCGAATAGTGTTTTAAGGCGAACTTACTCCAGAGCAATCAGATTAGATAGAGACTCACTACTCACTGTCGGTAACCAAGAGACATCAGACTCAAAGCTGATTCGCTGTATAGCCACGTATGATGCAGTTTGGACATATATGAAGGGTACCTTTAGACGGTTTTGGTGATCTTAATGTCAGACCCACATATAAAACAAGTGATCACTCCATTTCCTTCTGTGACTGCATGTAGAGGCAGGAACTTGAGAGACACCTTAGTACATAGCCACCTTGCCCCTTTGAAAAAAACATTTAAGTATTATTTACCTAAGGGCACATACAAATGCGGACATTGTAGCGCATGTGAGCATATAGCGGAAAACCTCTAAACAATTTACTGACAGCAATGGAGAGGAAATGTTCCCCGTTCACTCCTTTTTCAATTGTCGGACGGAGGGAGTGATCTATCTACTCATCTGCTCCTGTGGAATAAAATATGTTGGCAAACCTTTACGGCCATTTAAACTCAGGATCAGGGAGCATGTTAACTCCATGAGAAGACCTCTGGAGACTCCAGTCTCACGCCATTTAGAAATGCATCATGCAAATTCCTCAAATAAATTAATATTTATGGGAATAGAACATATCCCACAAACCCAAACGAAATGAAGGTTTCTCCTTCTCAGCCTTTCTACAGCCTTCATGGCTCTTATTATTAGATGTAGGAAGAGATATTCCTACGCTAGTCCTTTCTAAGATATCGGTAATTTGTAAATAGTTATAATTATATTTTCACTATTGATTTATATTTATTTTTATTATTCACTGGCGCACCCGACATATGTGTGAATAGCTCCAGTCTATTATTCTTAATTTTTCTCTGAATTAGAATCAGTTACATCTTAGATGCAGAATAATAAGTCTGGGTTTTATGTGCTACTGTACCAACAAGAGAATGTAGAGCTCTATCAAAAGGTATACATAATGTATAATAATAACCTCTTCAACGTCACATGGGGCTTATGCCGAGACTCCCCAATTCTGAGTAAGAACAAATTGTATTAGCCCTCTGTTATGTTTATATATCTCATAATAATGAGTAAGGAGTAATGAGTAGTGACCCTCAAGGTACCGTTAGCCTGATATACTTTTTGATGTTTGTAACAAAACCCCTCTTTGGTTTGCAGTAGTTATGGTGGTTTTGTTCCTTCCTACAGTGATTATGGTGTGAGTCTCCTTCCTAATGTTTATTTCCTCAAAGTACACATTCCTGGACTTCATTTTCCCTTCTCTGGCTGGATTTTATATGTTTCCTGAGGTGTTCGTTAGTGGATTCGGTAAATAAAGATTTTATCACGAACCAGATTCAAGTACTCAAGTAACCGAACCAAGTGTCGAACGAACGACCACCCTGCATGTGGAGTGTGCTGCTAGTTAACCACCCAGAAGCTATGGTAAACCGTAGCCTAATTGACGAAAGGCTGGGTGGTCGTCGTTCGTATGAACGAACACATGGCGGCGGCCATTTGTTTAGCTGAACGCGCTCAGCTGTGTTTTGCCGTTGAATGCCTGGAACTAAAATTGGACACTCAAAGGCACGAACATCGCTGAGACTTCCATCTTCCATGTGTTCGGCTAAATACACACAAACAGAGCGCTAATTCTTGAGAACATTCTACCGAACAAGGTGCATCTAATGGAGTAATACATGAACAGATCCGTTTGTGCAATTTAGACATTTTGTGAATGAGAAGATAGACCGGCCGCACAGCCAAAATCTGTGGAACTATTTGTGGAACTATTTTGCTTTTATTCAATTTTTATTCAATTCTATTTGAAGAACTTGAGTCTTTATAGAGGGGAGAAATGCTTGGCTGTCTGACTCAACTACTGAATGACGAGTCTGATCCACCACCCAGTAATATGGGAGATAGAAGAGTATAGCCACACCTCACGGCTGGTGTAGACAGATGAATGATTGCATACCCGCCCCACGTGGGCATGGCCCAATAAGAATAGAGGGAAGGTACTTCTTGCATTCTCTGATTGACAGACATACAATTTAGTGCATTCTGTAAAGCCAATGAGAATTAAGGTGGAAGCAGACATACAGATCATGTGATGGTAAGATCCATACCCCCTCTATACAGTAGGCAACATTTGATGGCTAATTGCCAATTAAGGACTTATATAAACGGATAGCTGGGCCAGTTCACAGACATTGCTCCTGACGACGGCGTGCTGACACGCCGAAATGCGCGTCAAGCTATTATTTTTTCGTTTTAACACTTCTCACTTGGTAGCACTAATATGCACTAATTTAGTTAAGGTTTATTTAATCTTTTTTTTTTTTAGATCAGGAAGGGAAAGAATCAGGTAGGTACTAGTGTTCAGTCCATGGTGCCGAGGTGATATAGGGACAGATCTATTCATCTGAGCTTCGGTTTGGGGCTGCTGTGGATACTCTTTTGGGGTTTGGTTCCTTATCTTAACCCTAGTGTCCGTCACCTTTGGAGATACCTGGGTTTTTGTTTATTAGCTGGGAAATTGTTCAGTGTAAGCTTAGACCTCACTAGTAGCTATGATTTTCTTTGCTAACCTAGCTGGATATCTATAGGCATCTGTGTAGGTGTATACAAGTACACTCATTATACATATACCTTTTTGTCTCTCCCTTTCCTGCTTAAATTTCCATTTTTCCTTAGGATTATTAAAGGTAAGGCTCCCCTTCCCCATAATTTGTGTTACGCTCCCTATCATTACCTCCAGTCCATCTCTGTCTATTTATTATATCGTGGGTTATTTCCCTAATCTCTAGGAGAGTAACATTGGGCATTATCTGGAGCTAACCCACTAGTCCCCAGTATCATTGAAACTTCTGGATCAGCGCCTATTTTAACTTTTATTAAAAATGGGGACATCCACTCTTCTAAAACAGGTGCTATAATTTTTACATCTCTGCACAAATAACACATAGTGTATTTAACTGGTGTAAATCTGAGTTGCTTGATTACGTCCAAGTGGGCTGCTCTAATTCTATGCCTTACTCCAATCCTCCAATTTTTACCTATGACAATTTGCAATCTGTGGAAAGTGTGCATAATTCATTATAAAAGAAAACGCTGTCCGTCAACAAGAAAATAACACCAGAAAAAGAAAAAAAAATCTATTTATATATAATGGCAAATCAGAGATATTGTCTGTTTTTTTTTATTGTAAGCATATTGAGTTTGGTCAGGACTAGACTTTTAATCAGTTGGGACCTTGTAGTGAAATGCCCCATGCTGATACGCCATTATAAAGTGGAACAGTAATTTTGTTTAAAAGAAATTCATATAGGGACGCAATTTAAAATTATATAGAAAGTAATTGGCTCCAGAGGGGCTATTTTCTCATGGCTGAGTGTTAAAGAAGGTATCAAGCCAAATCACCTTGTCATTTTCTCTTTTCTCTGCTGGCTATTAGCAATTCACATCAGGTAAGGCTGAGACAGTTACTTGAATTTCAAGTAGTGTGGACTACTCAGTTCCTGTAAAATGAAAGATATAAATCCACTAAGGTACAAATAGTACATAGTTGAACCTTCCAAGATACAGATAGGTTTTAAGAAATCTTTGAATACTAGCATCTCATATTATTTTATTAGAGTTTAGTCTAAATCAGATTTTTCATATTTCTTCTCTGTCACCAATAAAATACAAGTTGAACATTTAGCTTGATTGCCTTGGGATCTGGCCCAGGAAAGTGAAATACACAGTTTCATGTTTTCTTTACCCTTAGAGAAGACACTTGTAAGTTATTGTTGTTTCTTTTCAGCTACAAGAATTCTAACATGTATTTGATTTTTTAAAGAACAAAAAATTACAAAGATTATTCACTAAACTTGGAATTGTGTAAAACAGACAATTGCATTCAATGTTTTAGGCCAAAACAACCAACCTGGAAGAATAGATGAACGAGAGAAATATAGCTAAATTGGAGAATTTGGCCAGCTCTGCTTTTTTGTCTTATAACCTACAATATTCTTGGCAATTCTTCGGTTTCCCAGTGGTCACCAGGATCTGCTTCTTTCATTGAAAAACCCATGATATAGAACTGGCTACATTCAGATTATTGGACCCACACTACCCCCGAATTCCCCCGAACATAGACCTTTTTACTAAACATGGTGCAACAAATCCCCTATACTCCGACTGAGTATATCCGTGAAGAGTCTCCTGAAATCCAAGCATAGAAGTGATTACAGTGATTATAGCTCCCAATCCCCCAAACATGAGCCAAGACTTCATGTAAATGGACAAGACTTAATGTGTTTAATGGTAGCCACAACTGGCCTTTTATGCAAGTCCCCATGCAAGGGGCACTCCCCCCTGGACCTGAGAGTAGACTGCAGTACAAACAATCACACAATGACATTGGCTCTCAGGTCCAGGACACTCCCACATAAAATAGGACAATCCCTCCTCTGTACCTGGGAGATAATTGAGTTAAGTACTGTTACAAACTGCTATTTGTAACTGGCCCTTTAAATGACAAATTGCCCTGTTTCCCTGGGTTGTGGAGAAGCCTATTTACCAGCCTCCTCCCGCATGACTATGGCCCCGGGAGATTGTGAAAATTTATGGACTTTTATTGGGTGTGTATGGCCCTTTAAGACAGTTGGTGGGTATATTGGGGCTTATGTACTTTTTATGGGACTGGTGCTGGCCCTTTAAGCACCTTTTTGGGGCATAGGGAAAATTGGGACACTGCCACTTTAAGACGGTGTCCCCAGACTTTAAGACGGTGTCCCCAGACTTGTTTGGGACACTGTGTCCCCAGACTTGTTTGGGACACTGCCCCTTTAAGACGGTGTCCCCTGTGTCCCCAGACCTGGTTCAAACCCTTTGTTCCTGGCTATTTCCCACTTGGTTCAGTAAATGGGGCTTACTGAACCAAGTACCACACAGGCGGACCACCTGTATTGGGAGTGTGTCGGCAATTTACCTCCCAGAAGCTGCGGTTAACCGCATCTTAATTGACAATGCTGGGTGGCCTTTGTTCGTTTGCCGAACACGTGGCGGCGGCCATCTTTGTTCATTCGCACAAGGTCAGCGGTATGTGTAGCCAAATTCATGGAACTAAAATCAGCTGCACATTTCCGCGAACACCGCTGGCCTGTACCTTCTCCCATACTGAACTTTCAGCCGCAGAGACTAAGTCCCATTCGGCGATGGGACTTAGTCATTTTTTCAGCCTGAAATAGACTGACCGCACAGTCCAAATCTATGGAATTGTTTTGGGCAGGAAAATGTGCTTGCGGTCGGTCATAAAGGGACCTCCAGCTAACTTTTTAACCTTTTTAACCTTTAAAGGTGGTCTGCTCCCTCGGCCCCGGGTGACGGCGAGAGCTTCTGCCGCGGGGGGACCGCCTCCCCCCGCCCCCCAGCCACCTTCCGCCCCCTGGGCCTTCCCAGCCGACCCGGGGCCGGTCGCGGCGCACCGCCGTGGAGGAAATGTGCCCTGTGGGGGCCGGCGCCGTCCGCGGTGCCGGCATCGACCGGCCTGGGCCCGCCGGGTTGAATCCTCTGGGTGGACGGCACGGACCCCACCCGTTTACCTCTTAACGGTTTCACGCCCTCTTGAACTCTCTCTTCAAAGTTCTTTTCAACTTTTCCTTACGGTACTTGTCCGCTATCGGTCTCGTGCCGGTATTTAGCCTTAGATGGAGTTTACCACCCGCTTCGGGCTGCATTCCCAAACAACCCGACTCCGGGGAGACCGGGTCCCGCCCGGCCGGGGGCCGCCACCGGCCTAACACCTTCCGCGGGCTGGGCCTCGATCAGAAGGACTTGGGCCCCCGAGCGGCGGCGGGGGGGTCTGGTCTCCCGTACGCCACATTTCCCGCGCCCGCCGGGTGGACGGGGATTCGGCGCTGGGCTCTTCCCTCTTCACTCGCCGTTACTGGGGGAATCCTGGTTAGTTTCTTTTCCTCCGCTTAGTAATATGCTTAAATTCAGCGGGTCGCCTCGTCTGATCTGAGGTCTGAGTCGGAGCTGAGCGCGGAGGGGTCTCGCGCCCGCCGGCCGGCGCCGGGGAGGGCGGAAGGGGACCCGGGGCACCCACTCTCCTCCCACCGCCTCTGCAGCGTGCGTTTCCACAGGCAGCCACGCGGCGGAGGGCGTCCTCCTCTCCCTTCCGGGGGCCCCGGCCTCTCCCCTCCACCAGCCCCGGAGGGGGCCGAGGGGGAGGCCGCCGACCTTCGTGGCGGACGGTCGCGTGTGGGGGATACGTAGACGACTTCGGAGCCAGGGGGAACTGCGCCTGACCTCGCGGAAGTGGTGCCTGGACGCGGAGGGGCTGGAGCTCGCGGGACTTAGAAAATTTCCCTCGCTCGAGCGACGCTTTACCTTCGCTGTCCACCAGGGGGGCGCCACAAGGGGTGCGCGGTCACCGGGGCAGGCGCCCCTTCCCCTGCCCAGGGGCGCGGGGAGATAGAGGAGGACAGTCACGGATGGCAGACAGGCAAGGGGGGAAACCTCCCGTCGGCCTGGAACTCTGCCCGGGCATCCGAGAACCGGCCAGATTCCCCCCGCCAGCCAGCCAGCCAAGGGGGAAAACCTCCCGTCGGCCTGGAACTCTGCCTGGGCATCCGAGAAGCGGCCAGACTCCCCCAAACCGACAAGGGGGAAATCCTCACGTCGGCCTGGAACTCTGCCTGGCGGGCTCCCTTCCCCTGCCCGTCCAGCCCCGGAAGGCTGGGAGCGAGCGGAGGCCCCTGGCGCCCTCTATCATTTTCGGCCACCGGGGGCGCCGCCCCTGCCCGACCAGCCCCACTGAAATCCCGGGGCGAGGGGAGATCGGGGAGGGCAGGCATCGGTGGCAGACAGGTAAGGGGGAAAACCGCCCGTCGGTCTGGAACTCTGGCTAGGCTCGGGAGAACCAGCAAGAGTCCCCTGAGCGCCGTCTGAAATTTCCGCTCCTCGACAATCTCCTCGAGGGTGCTCCCGGCTATTGTCGTGCACTTTCTGCACGCGCGTCGTTTAGGGGGACCTGCCCGGAAAAGCGTCCAACCTCGTGGAAGTGGTGCCTGGACGCGGAGGGGCAGATCCAACCTCATACGAGACAGGCCTGGAGCTCGTGGGACATAGAAAATTTTTCGCCCTGAAAAGATGGGACTTAGACAACTCACCCTGCGGGCGAACGGCACGCGCCACCCCCACAAAACTCACGTCCCCTGACAGCCGACACCTGGGGGAACAACCTGTGCGAAAATCAGCCGGATTCCTTCAGAGGTCAACCGGCCCGACGCAGCCTTTTCACCCCGAAAGCGGTTCCAGGGATTTCGCGGTCACGTCCCCTGAAGACCCTTCTCTGTTTTGGGCCACGCAGACGGCCGCCAGGGGGCAGTTTTTTTGGTCCCACTGCTGCCGGGAGGCAGGGGAGCAGGCAGGCAGGCAGCAGGGCAGCCTGGGAGGCAGGCAAGCGGTTCAGCGCCTGCCGGACACCCACCGACAAAACGCAACGTTTCCAACCCGAAAACAGTTCCACGCTTTCGCGGCCAAGTGCCGCCGGGAACCAACCGGCCCGACGCAGCCTTTTCACCCCGAAAACGGTTCCAGGGATTTCGCGGTCACGTCCCCTGAAGACCCTTCTCTGTTTTGGGCCACGCAGACGGCCACCAGGGGGCAGGTTGCTGCTGCTATTCAGCTTAACAGCTGACATCACAGAGGATGACTGAACACTGAAGATGTCATCCAGCCACAGCCAGGCAGGCAGGCAGGCAGTCAGGCAGGCAGGTTGCTGCTGCTGCCAATAAGCTTAACCACTGACATCACAGAGGATGATGGAAGGTTGAAGATGTCATCCAGCCACAGTCAGGCAGGCAGGCAGGCAGGCAGGCAGGCAGGCAGGTTGCTGCTGCTGCTATTAAGCTAAACCGCTGACATCACAGAGGATGATCGAAGGTTGAAGATGTCATCCAGCCACAGTCAGTCAGTCAGGCAGGCAGGCAGGCAGGCAGGCTGCACTGCTCACGCAGGGCTTCGAGCTTACATCCAGCAGCCTCCCCTGCCCTCTGGGACGACCAGGCTTAAGCCCCCCTCACTGCACCGCCTGCTCAACCGCCTCCCACCCCTTCTGTTCAGCCTTAAGCCCCCTCCGGCGGATGCCCCCATTCCGCTCAGGCCTTAAGCCCCCTCCGGCGGTTGCCCCCTTCCGCTCGGGCCTTAAGCACCCTGCCTCCAAACCAGGGGAGGGCTGGCAGCCTTAGGCCTGGAGGGCAAAACCAGTCAAGTGGCCCATTGCACCACCAAATCAGTTCACCATCCATGCCCACCTTTTCCTGGTTTTATAACGGATATTGATGTTAAGCTAATCAGTAGCTCTTTGCCATACCCGCTCCTTCACGGCTCCAGGCACTGCTTGTTGTGAGTGTGAGCCACTGTAAATTAGGGGCAGAGGGCACTTGCACTGCGGTAAAGATGGGGTTGGGCAGGAGGAGAGTGCAGTGCAATCAGTGCACTCCCCTCCTGTGGGTCACCAGTAGACTGGTGCACCTGCCCAGGATCAGAGCCGGTGCAAGGATTTTTGCCGCCCTAGACAAAATAAAAATTTGCTGCCCCCCCATGTGACATCACAATGCCCCACCTATATGAACTAACGCCAGTGCTGCACACAGTGTGTGTTTACATTAAAAAGCCTGCAGGGACCAGCTATAGACACCAGAACCACTTTATTAAGCTATAGTGTCCCTTTAATGTGAGGTACATTATAGATTAGTGTCACTAATAATATACTAGATTGCCTACTTACAAGCAGATGAGGATGATGATGGGCTGCAGTTTGGCTCCACTGGTCTGGTGTAGAACAGGATCTCTGGAGGCTGTTTGCAACTGTGGTCACAAAATTCAATGTTCTGGGAGAATTGGAAGCAGCTCCATTTTTTTGGGGCCCCTTACACGGCTCAAGGTCTGGGCCCCAGGGCCTGACGGTGAGTATGCCCATAAGGCCCACTCATAAGTTCCACCCACCCGTGAGTTCGCTAACAGGGAGTGGAGTGTGTAGGGGACGTGTTATGTGTTATTGTAGAGGATCTAATATGTGTGTGCTTATGGTATGTAGTGTTTAGGGTTACCAGTTTGTGCAGGTGATGTAGTGTGTTTGTGTGTAGTGGAAGCAGTGTGTATTTGTGTATAAGGGATGTATTATGTGTTTCTGGTTGTGTGTAAGGGATGCATTGTGTGAATCTGTGTTTGTATGCATAAGGGATGCATGGTGTGTGTATGTATGTGTGTGTGCATTGAGTGTAAGAGATGCATTGTGTTTCT